CATTTCCGATCAAAGTATATCTATATCTAATCTATCTATATCTATATATTCTTTAGATTAAAGCACTGATAAACTGATCAGACTTCCTACCAGGTGATACTTGTAATTTTTTCTAGCATATTCCATAGCATCATTTCCAGTTACTTTATATCCAGTTGTACCAAGATTTCAGTGATTTCTTGTGCAGATTATGACATCATATTTTTCTCTTATAGACATTTCATTAGCTAGCCCCAATTTCCTGATTGATTCTGCCCCAATGAATGGAAGTGGGTCAACCCTGGGAAATGAAAAGTAGTAACTGACTTCTCTTTTTGTAAAAGAACCCAGAGAAAACAACTCCAATGAGACAAAACTCACTAGAGCTTGGTGTTCCTTGAACAGTCCCTCCCAGGCAGCCTTCAGGGATCATGAAAATGTAACAGGCTCCATAAACACTTCTAGTCTTTGGAGAAATGGACATTCATGGTGTTAATTGGCAAATGGATAAATAAATGTTTCAGCAAAGTCCTTGGCTCCCAAAGCTATCATAGTCATTACAACTACAAGTGAGAAGTTTGTAGTTCTGAAGGGAGGTGAGGTCATCAAATTGTGATCCTTTATCTCATTGTCGGGTTGCCTACTACTTACACAGTGCCGGATGTTATATCAGGAGCTGCACCCTAATTTGAAGATTTGCAGAAGAAACGAGTCAAGTGATCTTTGTGTGTTTTAATCTGGAAGGTAGAGAAAACAAAGAAGGGAGATCTGGTAAGTGCTCATGTCTGGAAAAAAAATGTTCTGGGTAGAAATAGTGCAGTGTGAATCTTAACAAAGAGGAAGGCTTTCTGGGCTATAAACAGAAGTAGTGAGGTGAACACTTTCCCTGGCTTTGTGGTAATACCTGATGTGTAAAAATAATGTAAAAAAATCTCTGCCAGATTATTGATGAGTCATTCCAGTGATAATGAATCTAACTTCAAGTGTGATGGAGGATGATAGTAATAATGTTTTTTTCCAGTTCCAATTTCTCATACTTTACATGAATTAGATTGTAAATTCTCAAAATGACAAACATAGATTTTGGTATAAAATCTTAAAGTGTATAATGATTATCAAAGTAGTCTCCTCCTGAGGAGGAACTGCAATCTGGACTTGCCTCTGGGTGAAATACATTTCTAGGCAGCACTCCATCTTTGACTGGTGTCGAGCTGGTTGTATCTGAGGCTCAGTGCTTATGACCACTGAGGCTGCCTTCCTTCTTGAACTTTGGAACATGGGGCTGAAGGGGAGGTGACATTTTTAATTGTGAATCTTGCAAACGACTTATCTGGAACAATCCATCTCCTGTTTTTTTCTTCTGGTTTAGTGATACTCGAATTGTATGCCCACCTTAAGTTTCAACTTCTAATTTTGATAGTTGAAATTGTTGGAACCCATAATTTGAGTGTAAAGGCAGAGTCTTAAACACAGGAATGTCTCCACAGCTCATATTTTCTTGTGTGCTTAAAGGTACAAGTACATATTTTACATTCTTCTAGTCTATGTATATTTTGTAGTCAAATGCAATTTACAAATTGGATTTACTACTTCCAGTTTTATAAACTTTGATAAAATCATTTGTAAGACTCATTTTAAAATGGCAGAATTTAATGCTTTTCTGTCTATATACATGTGTGCATTTGTATGTGTGTAAATATATGTGTGTGTTTGTGTCTGTGTTTATGTATGTGTATATGTATGTATAGGTTAACTGTGAGTTCAGTAGAACCATCTCTTAAGTGTTCTGTTGGACTTAGATAATTTAACCTTATTTGTTATTGAATCAGTCTTTTAACAACCTGAAACTCTTTCAGCAAGCTGAACTAGGTAATCAGAGATCCCCAGCCAATCACCTATGTCTACTTTTCTGGTGTTATCTACAATACAGTAGTTATGTTTTTATGTGAGATATGAGAACATAGATCTTTCTACCTATACTCTCAGCAGTTTACCATCATAGCTCTCTGCCTACCATGGCAATAAGTTAGTTTCTATGTCATAGAATTGTTTAATACATAGTTTTCTTATTTCATTGCTGATTATGAATCGTGAACAAGTCTCATAAAAGAAATGATGTTTAATTCTTCATTTGAGAAATTTTCTTATGTTTTACTATCAACAATCGTAAACACAAGTTTGCTGCAAAAAAATGAATATTGGGTATATCTTGCATTCATGAAATCCAAATTGGACACAGATTGTTTCTGTAGGACTAAATTGAATTTTTATATGATGTGAATACAGGGTAGAATAGAAATAAAATTTATAATAATATGATATTTTAAAATGTGTCTGATGTAGCACTGCTAAATAAAACACTAGGTGCCTCTTTGCGGAAGCAGACAGCCTGTATTCTCATTTTTCAAGCGTCCAAACAGCTCCGAATGACCTATTTTTTTTCTTTAGGCAATCATCCACAAGGTTTTTTCTCAGTTTTTGTCTTGGCAGTGAGGGGAACTACATTGTAAACATCAGATTTCTATGCAAATCACCAGAGATCCCAGAGGAAAAGTATTGTAATACAGATTAATACAATGGAATCTCTGTTTGCAGTTCAGTTTAACTCCAGGAATACTAAGTGCAATTAAATTGTCAGTAAGTCCTCTTATATGAGAAAAGTTTATTTCAGATGTACTAAATTTGATCACACTGCCTATGGCTGAAAATTTTTATGGCTTTGAAGACAAATGTCAATCACTGGAAACTGGCAAGTTACCTGCAGGAATTGGAAAACAGGAATGCTTCACACCTGTCTGGGTGACAATGTTTTCCTGTGTGTTCCCTCTTCCACTGTTCTATTTGTTCTATACACTGAATGAGCATTCAGGTTCTTATACTTGATTCTTAAATATGGTGCATTGCATTCCTAGTCCTTGTCTTTCAAGGCTTTAGCAGCTGAGTTTGAAGAATTTTCTGTGACTTTGAATATTTTCTCTGTCCAGACAGATTTTACATGTTAAAACACCATCCTAAGCCAGTATGTCCAGTACCTCAGTAAACTAAGTACTCAAGGTATGTGGAACCAAAGATGTTGGCAAGTGTACTGCTTTTCTAAACTCGTCTCTATAGGGCTCTGTAGGTTCTTGAAAATGCCCTTCTTTGTATAATTTTATCTAAAATAAAAGCTAAATAATTTTAAAATGCCACAAAGATTCAGGATAGTTTTCCAAGATGTGTTATGATGAAGTCACAGTATTCATCAAGTTATTATTCATGAGTGCTTTTACTGGGATCATGATCTGGACCTGTAGCTCTATGATTTTCATTTGGTAGAGAACACACTTTATATTAATTATATTCAAGTTATCACTAACAAAACTTCTTTCTGTTACTGTGAAAGGTAATTATATTTCTTTTTCTAGAAAACAAAGAAATACACAATGCCAAGGCCACTGGAATTTACAAGTGAAAATCAACCTAGTGTGTAGCACATTCATCAAGAATTCAACTGAAGTTGACTGAATATGATAATCCCAGAAATACAAAGGTCAAGGGAGGAGTTTCAAGATGTTCCATGCCAGTTAAGATTAACAGAAGGAAACTTTGTCTGAACTTCTCTCCTTTATGAAATAGATATAACACAGTGACAACTAAATATTTTTCACTTCTAAGTCAGTGCATTAGTCATAGAACTCTGTTTCGTTCTTGGTAGGATAGAACTGTGGAGACATGGATTCATGTCAGTGTTGACCTGTAAGAGACTGGGTCACTGATGACCTGCTTTTATATTTGCCTGAATGGATGTATGTCATATAAACTTCAATTTATCTTAGAATTTGGTCTTTTCTAATGAATTTTTGTGTATGCTGCTACACAGCACAGATCTGTGAATATCAGAAGAGGCGGTCTATTCAATTTTGTTTGATTACTTTGATTCAGGGTCTCACTATGTAGTTCTGACTATCCTGGAATGATTATGTAGACTAGGCTGGCCTTGAACTCACAATGCCCTACCTATCTCTACATCCTGGGTTCAAGGATTAACACATTTATTAGCATGTTTAATTTAGGTAGTGTATTCTCAAAGAATGCATTCAGAGGTCCTTGGTTAGATGTCACTTCTTTCACATATATCCTAAAATTTGTCTTTGAAGATATTTACACAAGAGTGAGATTGTGCACAAGCAAATGGCCATTGACTCCAGCAAAAACATTTGAGCCAACGAAAATACCATCGACAGTGTGTCACATACGTAACTTATCCTTGTTCTTATCAATGACTGGTGTCTCAAGCCAGTTTTACTTTGGATTTCTGCTACTACATTATCACATCTGGCAACAGATCTAATTAGAATACTGGACATTCCCTATTTATTCCACATTTAATGTGATTGGTTGTAAATTTCATGAGTTAACCAAACAGAACATATACCTTTTTTTCCCCTCTTCCCTGCACCTAGTGAATAATTCTGAACGTGCGTGTAAAATCTGGTGAGCTGTATCTCTTAATTTAACATTATGTAGCTCATCATTTTACCCCCAGGATTAGAGTATTTTATACTATATTGTAAATGTTTTTTCATACAAGAATTTAGAAACATTCACTTTATTGAGGTAAAATGTACATTGTTTAAGCTGAAATGTTGCACGACATGGACAGCATGGAAGTTTTTCCATTTGAAGCTGCAGATCGAGGTCTGTTTTATGGTGAATAAGGAACAGTTTATTCTGGGATCTAGAAGTGAGCATTCTTTTCACTTGAACTGAATTGCTGATTGCTTCATCATTGAATTATGGTCTTATTTCTAATGCTGAACATTTTAAGAAACTCACTCCATAAACATGAAAACTGTAGACTTTAACAATTTCAATGAAAGTTATTACAGATGGCATGTGTTTTGAGACTCTCTTGTTAAGTTATAAACTCTGCATTTTCAATCTTGAACTCGGTTGTGTGTCCTCCAAGGGGTCAGGTCAGAAAAAATCATGATTTGCATAACTTGCATGACTTGGCTCAGGGACATAATTGTCAAAATTTAAAAGAAGAAATGCTGAATGACAGAATGGACTCAAGGACCTTGGCAGTAGGTATAGTGCTTTTACTTCAGAGTACACTTGGAATTCTAGGAAACGTATCTTTTCTTTTCTACTACTTACTCATTTACTATCATAAACACAAGTTAAAGACTGTAGACTTAATTCTTGCACATGTGTTCACAGCCAACTCCTTGGTCATTCTTTCTAAAGGAGTGCCCCACATATTAAAAGTTTTTTGGTGGAAACATTTCCTCAATGATGTTTCATGTGAACTTATTTTATATGTTCTCAGACTGAGCAGGAGCATGTCCATCAGTATCACCTGCATCTTGAGTATCTTCCAGGCCATTACTATCAGTCCTATTGACTCCTATTGGAAAGGTATTAAATTCAAAGTACCAAAATATGTTTGTTGTTCAATTTACATCCTCTGGATCCTGAACATAGTAGTAAATATAGTTTTCCCCATGTGTGCATATTCCAAAAGACATAGCAAAAATAAGACACAAAAGAGAGATTTTGAATTCTGTTCCTATCTTAGTCGTGACATAATAGTAGATTCACTGTTCACAGCATTTTGGGTGTTCCCTGAAGTTTTATTTTCTATACTCATTGTAAGTTCCAGCATCTCCATGATTGTCATACTTTATGGGCACAAGAAGAGGATTCAACATATACTCAGTACTCATACCTCCCCAAGAATCTCTCCTGAATCCAGAGCCACACAGACCATTTTGGTCTTGGTTTGCATCTTTATAGCTTTTTATACCCTCTCCTCCATTTTGCAAGGCTACATTGCTCTTTCTCATAATTTAAATTGGTGGTTATTAAATATCGCAGTCATCATTTCTCTGTGTTTTCCTACTTTAAGCCCCTATATAATAAGTCATGATTCTATTATTTCCAGATTTTGCTTTTTTCTAAATGAAAAATATAAAACTGAAGTAATTTTATCATAATTATGTAAATTGTATCATTGCAATGTTGTACATCTAAAAGTTTAGGCATCCCACGTCCTGCAAAATATCAGTCAAATAATTTATAGTATTATTTTAATGGCAAGATTATAACATAGAATAATACTAACATATCCTTCATTATAGACTATGGCCAGATTAACCACAGATTTTCACCCACATTAACTATTGTAGTTACAAACTTTTCACTGAGTGGCCTTATATCCTACCATAATGTTTGGTTACTTCTGCCATATTTCCTCCAGTGTTGTATAAGTGAGCCTACCTTATCAGTCCAGTCTTTTATTGTAGCTCTCATAGTTCACTGGGTGATATTGATCCAGGTTTTCTACAATAGAAGACATAGCACCTTGTAGCTGTACAAAATCTGCCCAGTAGAGATGCATCTTCCTAGTCAGTATATGTTAGATTTAGTATTTTACGACTCAAATATATATTTTTTAAATTTATTTATTTATTTATTGAAGATTTCTGTCTCTTCCCCGCCACTGCCTCCCATTTCCCTCCCCCTCCCTCATCAGCCCAAAGAGCCATCAGGGTTCCCTGCCCTGTGGGAAGTCCAAGGACCACCCACCTCCATCCAGGTCTAGTAAGGTGAGCATCCAAACTGCCTAGGCTCCAACAAAGCCAATACGTGCAGTAGGATCAAAAACCCATTGCCATTGTTCTTGAGGTCTCAGTAGTCCTCATTGTCCGCTATGATCAGTGAGACCCGTTTTAACCCAGGCTTTTTCAGACCCAGGCCAGCTGGCCTTGGTGAGTTCCCAATAGAACATCCCCATTGTCTCAGTGTGTGGGTGCACCCTTCGCGGTCCTGAGTTCCTTGCTCGTGCTCTCTCTCCTTCTGCTTTTGATTTGGACCTGGAGATTTCTGTCCGGTGCTCCAATGTGGGTCTCTGTCTCTGTCTCCTTTCATCGCCTGATGAAGGTTAATATTCAGGAGGATGCCTATATGTTTCTCACTCATATTTGGTTTCTAGCCATAAATAAAGGACATTGAGCCTATAATTCGTGATCCTAGAGAAGCTAAATAAGAAGGTGAACCCAACGACTCAAATATTTTACAGTCATATATTTGAACTTACAGTTATTGTATGACAACATACACAAGACCTGTGAAAGTCAGACAACATACTATCAGTGTGATCATGGAGGAGAGAGCACATTAGGTTCAATCACTACATGAAGTGCAATTGGCGTGTGATAATTGTTTGGAAAAGGAGAGGGTCAGTTTGCTTTAACAGTGTTGCTGCTCTGTAGGTTAAGCACATTCAGGAATAGGGTCTACACTCAATAATACCAGTTGAACATAGATTTTATGTGGTAGGTTCACAAATAAAATAGGTGAGTAGGTAGGTAGGGATTTATCTGAAAGAAAATTTGGGAGAGATGTTGAATATTATCTAAATACTTTGCATGTAAATATTAATGAGTTGATAAGACTACTAAAATTTGTGGTGGAAGTCACTTGTCTCTTTAAGGTACAGTCTAGGAGTTTATGTTCTCATCTGATACTTTTAGGAGCAAGTAGTGGTGAATGCTATGATGTTCTACCCTGTATAAACATATCCTATATGCAGAAATTTTAAGTAGTATTTCTTGAGGCTAAGTAACGGGGTTAAATTACAGATTCTTTGTTTATTTTTTAAACATTATTTTTCATTGATTATTTGGTAATTTCACTTCATAGACCCTAATTCTACCCATTTCCCACTCCTGTCATGTCCACCATCCAACCTTGTAGCCTCCTCCCCGAAAATAATATAAAAACAAACAAACACACAAACAAGCAGAAATCCACTTTTCTCCCCCATCTATGTCTCTACATCACATATGCATTTTGTGTGTCATGCAGTATACCCTTTTACTCAAACAGCTTTACTTGAAAATGTTCATTGCAGTGAGTTGTTGCGCCAACATCTGGTATACTATCAATATTGGACCCTCAGCAAAACCTCCTGAGGATATCCTGCTGTTGTGCCTAGACGTGGAGATACTGACTCTATGATTCTGTAGAACTGATGCCCTCATTCATTCCTCAGGTCATAGATGCAGCAGATGTTGTATTGGGCCAATTCAAAGTCTTGGATATGGTGCTAGGTGGTAGCTGACCTAAATAGTCTGGGTCTCCACTGTGACCAAACTATCATATGAGGGCTAAGGACAGCACTCCCATGCCCACATCGTCTTGGCCTGCTCTCATGTACACATGGTGATGAGTGGGATCAATGGTCCCACATTTGGGGCTAGCTGTCTTGTTATGGCAGCTGGCAAGGGGAGATAATTTCATCCAGGCCCAGAGATTAGGGGTCTGTTCTCATTGTAAAGGCCACTCTACCTTGATACTGTTTGTGATGGGAGGGTGGGACCTGTTATCTGAAGCCCAGACCGCTGGGGCCAGCTCTCGTTGTCTGGTCATAAAACAGAGTATGGACTTCAGCACACCAGATGCAATAGACCATGGCCCATGGTGTCAGCACAGGCCACTTGGATATGTATGGTCCTGGAAGCAGTGTGGCTGTTGGACATCAGTGTGGACATTTGCAACCCTTTCGTGGTAACACAGCCTGACCCTGGCTACAATAGGGAAATGGACCCACTTGGCTGCAGTTTGCCCTGTAGTCAGCTCAGCTCTTGGACCTCAAGAAAACCTCAGGTGTGTATCCAGATCAAGGACAACTGTATGGCCTTGCGGTATCATGAAAAAAGGACATCAACACAGACTTCAGCTGCATTAGGTTCACAGAACCACGCATGGTTTTTAGCAGCATCACAAAAAAAAAAAAACCCACACTTTTCCAGGTGACAACATAGGCCACACGTATCAGCCTGTTCCCTACCTCTGCTTCAGTCTCACTTCTCTCCACAGTACATGAACTTATTCTTTCCCATTTTCTACTACAAACCTTTCATCTTAGAGGTATGTCCCTGCCGAGGCCTTAGTTCCCTGGGTTGACCTGTGGGTGGCTTCTACCTGTGCCAGATATCAGATTATTAAGAGAACAGAGCAACCATATCATCAAGAAAATATTGACACAGATACTGAAATCTATGAAGATATGAAGTGCAAAAATTCAGCAACAAAAAGGATAATATCCTCACATACACTTTATACAGAAAGAGTCTACAGAGTAAACAGATCCCACGCAAAGAACATTCTCTAGTGTACTTGTTGAATAGATGAACTCTAGTAAATATGGTTACAAAGGTTTATGTTATTGAGAGATCTTCAGGGTAAATAGCATTTAGTGTTTCTTTTTCTTTAAATTAATTAACTGAATAACTTGATGCCTTGATTGGCATCTGTTAATACCTGCCTTGTGTTCCACTATCCTATCCTGAGAAACTGTGCACCAGACAGCACTCTCATATCTATGAAGAATAGTTATAGTACTAGCCACGAGGGTGATAGAGTTGTGAAACAGAATGATACAGTGAGACAGGTAGACAAAAAAGAGCATACACAAATTAACAAGATCAGAAATGAAAAGGGGGACATAACCACAGACACAGAGGAAATTCAAAGACTCATTAGATCTTACTACAAAAGCCTGTATGCCACAAAACTGGAAAAATGTAAAAGAAATTGACACTTTTTTAGATAAATACCATATACCAAAGTTAAACCAGGACCAGGTGAACAATCTAAATAGACCTGTTAGTCGCGAAGAATTAGAAGCTGTAATCAAAAACCTCCCTACCAAAAAGAGCCCAGGACCAGATGGTTTCAATGCGGAATTTTACCAGAACTTCCAAGAAGACCTAATACCTATACTCCTTAATGTATTTCACAATATAGAAACAGAAAAGTCATTACCAAATTCCTTTTATGAAGCGACAGTTACTCTGATACCAAAACCACACAAAGACCCAACCAAGAAAGAGAATTACAGGCCAATCTCACTCATGAACATTGATGCAAAAATCCTCAATAAAATACTGGCAAACCGAATCCAAGAACACATTAGAAAAATTATCCATTATGATCAAGTAGGCTTCATCCCAGAGATTCAGGGTTGGTCAGGCAACATATGAACATCTATCAATGTAATCCATCATATAAATAAACTGAAACAAAAAGTAGTTTCTTAAATACAATCTAGTGTAATGTTAAAAGTCATATTAATGCTTTCAAAAAGATCTGAAAAAGGATATGCATTTTTAATTGATTTTCTTTGAGCTCTACATTTATCTCTGCTCTCCTCCCTGCCTCTTCCTTCTTCTTCAACCTTCTCCCAAGGTTCCCATGCTTTCAATTTACTCAGGAGATCTTACCTTTTCCTACTTCCCATATAGATTAGATCTATTTTTTTCCTAGGGTCCTCATTGTTGTCTAGGTTCTCCGGGACTATGATTTTTGGGCTGGTTTTCTCTACTTTAAAAACCACTTACAAGTGAGTACATGTAATAATTAAACATCCTTATTCATCAGAGAAATACAAATCAAAACAACTCTGAGATTCCATCTTACACCTGTAAGACTGGCCAAGATAAAAAACACTGATGACAACTTATGCTGGAGAAATTGTGAGGTAAATGGAACACTCCTGCATTGCTGGTGGGAATGTAAGATGGTACAGCCCCTTTGGATGTCAGTGTGGCAATTTCTCAGAAAATTAGGAACAACCTTCTTCAAGACCCAGTAATATCACCATTGGGTATATATACAAAGGATGCTCAATAATGCTACAAGAACATGTGCTCAATTATGTTCATAGCAGTATTGTTTGTCATAGCCAGAACCTGGAAACAACCTAAATGCCCTGTGACTGAAGAATGGATAAGGAAAATGTAGTACATTTATACAATGCAGAGAAAAATAATGACATCATGAATTTTTCAGACAAATGGATGGAGCTAGAAAACATCATTTTGAGTGAGCATATGCATTTTAATTCTAACCATGACAAATGGTTAAATAGTGAGCAAATATGGGATTAAAGCATTACAGAAACTAAGCAGGAAGATCATCAAAGCATGTAGCGCCAAGTTTTGTGTATGGGATTTTAGGTCCATAATCTCCAAAAACCTCTAAATTTGTTGCCCATAGCACACATCTCTAAGAGTAGTTCTACTCCCTATATGTGGTTCTTTTTGCTCAGTATGTAAACACTCTGGAATACCGAACCCATGTGCTCTCCACTGCAATTTAGCCAACATCAACATTCATGTCTTTAAACAATTGCTTCCCATGTCCCCAGCAGGACACCCTGACAAATAACACCTGTCCTCAGTGGCAGTATAACATTTAGAGGAAGAACAATCTTGCATTTGTCATGCCTTTGATGATAGTATCACATGAAATATAAGACCAGGATAAGCATCTGTATTGGGGTAGATCCTTGCTACCATCAACCATAGTTGCACCATCTTTGGTTTGTTGAAGCAATTATTTTGAGGAACAAGCATCTCCTTTGGTTTTATCATTTCACTATCTGAAATCTAAGCTGTGTAGGATTTTTTTTCTTGATAATGCTCTATTTATTATTTAAATATGAATGAGGGTATTTCTCTTTAATGGCACTGATGGCATCATCAATTACAGCATCTCTTCCAGTATATATCATGACTTGGTTGTAGCATTAAATTTTCCAGTGCTTTTTTTCCAAGCTGTATCTTCCTGCCTCACTTGCTCTTTTTCACTGTAGACTATCATAAGAGCTGTCAGTAATAACCATTCCACAGAGACACTGTTATGTTGTCTCATATATTATTGGCCAAGAAAATAATTTAATCACTCTTAAATTCTGCTTAATGCAAGAATTCTCTTGCATTATTAAAAAAGACATATTCTTTGGCAAAATACCACAAAAATAGCTTTTACCATGATTTCTGTTACAGTCCTTGGTTCATTCTGAAACCTATTGAGCTAGCCTCCACAGTTCACATTACTCTCATAAGTAAAGGATTCTAGACTTCAAATAGAATCTGTCATCATGCTCCTCTGGAAGAATTAAATTGTTTTCATAATTTAATTTTCTCAAATCTTCCAAATTCCCACAAATTACTACAGAGTTTTCATAACACCATCTTCCTCTTGCATAAAAACTTATAGTTACATTTTGTTGTGATGATGAGACACCATGACTGGACACCACATACAGGAGAGTTTTGACTTTAGAGTCCAGATTGACTGCTATTTATGGTGGGGAAGCATTGACACATGCCAGAAAGAGCAGGGCACCGACATGAAGTTGTGTGATCACATCTTCATATTCAACAGAAAGAAGAAAGCATCCAGGAAGTATACAATAATTTTAAAGTAAAATTTAGGCCCAGTAAACCACTTTCTCCAGCAAGGTTGTACTGTCCAATTCTTCCTAAAATAGTGGGAGCCAAGTGCTCAAATTCCTAAGTATGTGTGTATTATTTTTCACTCAAACCCCAACATTTTCCACTTAATAAATCCTGACCATGAGTGGAAGAGTTTTCTACATTTGTACTTTATTGAATTCAGTTATCATAACTCAGCTAGCTCTGGAAGCTAAAGGCTTATAAGTGAATCAGAAGTAATGCTTTCTTGTGTAAACTATAATCTCTGTCTCTACTGTCCTAAGACCTTCAAAGAACAATGCTTACTGGCTAGACAGTAAATGTTATGCTGCTACTTTTTCTGTTTCTTCACTAATGCCAAAAACTGAAAACTCTATAGTTTTCTCTAAAAACAAAATGCTAGGCGATTCTAGTTTTGACTCGGTGCTTTTACATTGAGAAGATAGACTCAGCTTACAGAATATTTAATGAAAAAAACTGTTTTCATTTGTGAATAATAACTACAAATGAATTCTATAATGGCCAGGACTGTGTCCAGACTTTGGGCCATTTGGGGGTGATATTTGTAAATTTGTAATTTTTTTCTAGGACATTTACAATTCATCATTTTGAGTTAGGTTGTATGCAGTGTAGAATGATTGTAATGATTCCAGGTGCAAATTTTGATACTGAGTTTTTTTCTTTTACTGTTGCTTCAGTAGCTATATCTGTATTGTTGACTCACTGTCTTGATGAGTGCTGTAAAATCAGGGAAAGCATGGATCTGATAATTAATTATTCATTTGTTTTTGTTTAGAAGAACCTTAGAGAAAGCTGGAGTCCAATGAAACACAGAAACTCCTTTGTAAGGTTCTCACGCATGAAACTTTGACAAGCTTTATATCCTCTATCACTGTTGTCTTTTAGGTGTCCTGAGAAGTTAAGAACCTCGTTGAAAAACTCACCTCTTTGGAGACATGCAGAAGAAACCACTAAAGAGCTTTGGTAATTATCCCAAAGCCATGAACTCTCATTGCCAGTGTTGTTGGAATAAAAACTGCAGTTTAGAAAAGGGGTGATGTCACAGAGCCTCAAACCTTTATCTCAGACTTGTGCTGCATATTTATCCCACAAGACCGAATTTCATGCTGTCAGGAGCTGCACACACACATCAGAAAGTTTGTCATAGATGATTCAGGTGAGCATTTGGTATCCCATATAGGAAGTAAAGCCAGAAAAGAAGGTGGAACTGGTAAGAGTGTCTTTATAGAAATGGATTCTTGGTGTGAAAACGGATGCTGTGAAATTTAATTCAAAAAGAGATGTCTAAGACTTTCTGAGCTGATATGTACGCATTACAGTATTACTCAGCGGTAAAAAACAATGACATCTTGAATTTTGCATGCAAATGGATGGGAATAGAAAACACTATCCTGAGTGAGGTAACCCAGACCCAAAAAGATGAATATGGTATGTACTCACTCATAAGTAGATTCTAGCCATAAATAAAGGATATTGAGCCTATAATCCGCGATCCTAGAGAAGCTAAATAAGAAGGTGAA